AGGAAGATTCTTGAGGACTAGCTGTATGATTAGGGTTAACCCAAGTGCATCTGGGCTTCCAGACACATGAAAGAACTTATTTCTCCTCTTGTTCCATGATGAGACCTGCCTAGAATGTCTGAATGTGTGTAGACATACATTATCTCACCAGAATATGCCACATGCGTCTGGAACCAATTTGATGGACTCTGAAAGCTACATAGATTGTATATCCATTAACAGACTTAATAAAAGGAGGTTGCAAAGTCAGATTTGCAAGAGGTTGGCCAGTAATTCAGCCACAGTAAATAAGAACAGATAAGATTGATTCCTTACTGGTTATTTTTTTCATAAGGATTGCTACCGCAACGTGGCCAAATGAACTTGTTACAACCCAGTATTACTGTGGAATATCTAGGTGTAATAACTGTTGTGTCTTTTCAAGGAGTCAGGGTTTGGATAGTTTAATAATTGGTCCCTTTAGGGGTAATTTTAATGCCTGAGAAAAACCATTTAGGAAAATGATCAACCTTCTCAAATTTATATCAAGCGTTGATACTCTCATTTCCAAGTCTATTTACATGCCAACTGGATAGATAAGACTAGGGTCCTGAGGTTAACGTGGCTCTCTCTGATAGCATAAATAACCATTTCTAGTTAAAATAATTTCAAGATTTTACTTACAGCTTCACCTAGGAGATCTTCTCCCTCTAACACAGACAAGCCAAGAGCCTCAATATACCTAGGGCTGGAGAATCATGTAATGGTAAGGGTAACACCCTTTGCTTTGATAAAAATTTCTGGGAAACCCAAACCCCAGGAAAAATGTTTAAGTCTCCTCTCAAGTAATACGAGATGAAGACCCATATAAACTTCAGACTTGAGTGGAAAACTTTCATAAGCAAGCAACTTTAGATTTTTGGCCTGGGCAAGGGAGAATCTAAACGACTCCGACAATAATAAAGGCAAGATTCTAGGTGTGATGTTGTGATATAATAATAAATACATATTTGGTCTTTGTTCCCAAGTTCCTGATACAAAAGCTTCTAAAACCTTTAGTGTTTTCTGAGGGTTTGGAGAGAAGTGTCTCTTGTTATTCATAATAAGCCCCATTCAACCCACCTGAGTCCATACTAATGCAGTCACTCTCCTTAGGCCTCCAGATTGCCTCTCGAGGGGGCCTGGTTGCCAGAGGAACCATCCACGTGATGAGAGGGGTGGAACTTTCAGCCCTAGTCCAGGACCTCATGAAGAGGCAACTGGGAGAGGGGCTGGAGGTTGAATTAATCACCAATGACCATTGATTTAATCAACCGTGCTTCCAGAATGGAACCTCTATAACCCTAAACAACGGGATTGGGAGAGCTTTTGAGTTGGTGAGCACATCAAGGTGCCAGAAGGGTAATGTGTCCAGAGAAGGTGTAGAAGCTCTGTGCCCTCTCCTCATACCCTCTCTTCCCCACGTGCATCTCTTCTATTTGGCTGTTCGTGAACCGTAGTTTTTAGAACACAGCGGTAACAGTAAGTAAAGTGTTTGAGATCTGTGAATCTTTAAAGCGAATTGTTGAAATTCAGGAGAGAGCTGTGGGTACCCCCAATCTGTAGTCCACTGGTACTGGTGACAACCTGGGACTGTGGCTGGTGTCTGAGGTGGGAAGCAGTCTTATGGGACTGATCTCTCAAGCTGTACGGTAGGCACTAACTCTGGGTGTGTTGTGTCAGAATCAAACCTTAGGACACCTACTTGGCGTCTGCATAGAACTGGAGACTGGCTTGTTTGGAAAACCCCCAGTTGGTGTCAGGTATTTGGTAAGTAGAAACTTCCACATTAGTACTAGGATACGGAGATGTTTCGTATGTTAAGAGAAATAGAAGGAAAAAAGTCTATAATCTGATAATGAGCTCTGAAAGTCTTGTAGAGTGAAGAGTCTTCCAAGCACGGGTCCACCGCAGGTAAAAGAGGCCTTATAGAAACATTCGTTTGCCAGAATTGTTAGCCGTGTTGCATGGTGTCCCCCCATCCCCGCTGTCACCAAATTATTGATCTGAAATAGCTTCTCGGGACTTGTTTTCTTTAAATAGGCTCAGACGGGCATTTTACCCATTTTCAAAAATGTTTCTACCCTTCATTCCCCTACAGGTACCACCAAGCTATAGATCTAGTAATTCCTAGGCAAAACCTTTTCTTTTAGAATGTGGTTTTTCAAATTATTGTCTTGCACAATGAAGGAGGTTTGAGGTGCTATTCTATTACTAATCAGATACCTTTTTGTCTCGTCAGATAATAAAAATGTAAACTTTTCAGACCACTTACTCTTTTATCCATGGGCCAAATAATTTTTTTGATAACACTATTTTTTCCACCTGCATATTTAGTACCTAAACAACACACATGCGTGAGCAACACTGGAAGCCAGCACGTCAGAAACTCGTCAGAAAATTCAACCAGGAATTTGCTCTGACACTTTCTAGCAGCTTAGTTGAGCCTTCTGGTACCTGGGGAAGAATAACTAATGAATGTGTTAAATATTAATTCTCCCAGATGCTTGGAGTTGTCTCCATGTTAGCAGGAAACAACTTACCTAGACCCTATTATCTGTGTTTCCTCAAGACAGGAGGACTGTAATTATGAAAACTCATGCTATTGGCTTTTTAAATAGTTACAATAAAAGAAACATTTGAAAAATACTTCTGGATTTTTTTTTATAAAACTATAATCAAAGACCTGTCTATTAAGTTACTTATATAAAGATACACCTACTAAACCTTCTTACTATAAGGTGCCAGAGAAATATAAATGCTGCCTTTTATAGAAGAGTGGGGACTACAAACCCTCATATATTCTCTTTGGTTCTGACTTCCGGAAAGCTGAGGTTCAAGTTCGACTTCCACTCTGGGTTCTTGACACCTAAGCACCCAGTGAATCCACTTAAGTCTCCTTGAAGCCAGCTCAGCAACAGGTTTCCCCACCTCCTATCCCCTCCCCACCAGTCAGTGATTCTCAAGGGGAGGGTTTTAAAAAATTATATCCCTTCTCCACCTGGAAATCATTGGATTAATGAAAAAATGTGCTGATGGAAAGGAGTTGTACATATGGTCAGTTTTTTGTTGTTTTTTTGACCATCCTACTTGATATGCAGTTTGATGAGCTGTAGTTCAGCACAAATACTGTTACTTTTTGGTTTTGATTTTTGCTAAGGTGGATAAGGAGAACAGTGCTTTAAGTGCTGTTTGTCTAGCTAAAAGCAGCTCTTTTCTGTTTATTCTGTTCTGACCGTGTTTTCTAGTTACTCTCTAGAACAAAAGGGTGATTGGCACTTCTTGTTCTCTTAGAAGAGTATCTCTCCCTTCCCTTAGAGCAGTAATTAATAAATCCTGAACCTTTCTTTACTTTCCTCCACTTAACTCCAAATACTCTGAAAGGGGTTGGGAGGGTAGATGCTGAATTGTACACACACTCGTGCTTTAGTGTTTCAAGCTACCTCTTGGCTTTGTTGGTAGAACATGGGGTAAATGAAAATATTTTCTATTCATGTTTAACCTGAAATAATTCAAGTGATGCTTAAAATCTGGGCTACACTGGGTGTGAAGAGACCCCGCCTTGCCTAGCAGAGTTTCTTAGCAGTGGACTGGTGTTCTGGAATTGCCTAATGGGGTATACTCAGGGACAGAGGTCCTGGACATTTTTGTTTTCACTGTGTTCAGATACGTCTTGGTTTCACCTTGAGGGGCATCCTTCTTTCTCCCAGGCAAGGAGTCTCTGGTTGGCTCCAAAGCTCTCTGCAGGGGCCCTTCAGCTGCTTCCTCTGGGGTCTATGGTAACCACAAACAGAAGACCTTTCCTTCTCTCCTTCCTCTTTTTCTCTCTCCCACATCCAAGTACCTGAGCATGTTGCCTGTAACTGTGGCTGGGTTTTGTTCCCTTCTCCTCCCTTCCCCAAGTCCAGCCTCAGCTGGATCTTCTCTCAGCGGGGATACTGCAACTGCTTCAGACCTCACCTCCCCCAGGTCCTGTTAAATCCACCCTCCACCTGCTGCTCCCTATCTGAGAGCTCCCAGCGTCCTTGTCCCATAACAGCTTGGCGCTCAGAGGATGCACAAAGGGCTTCTCGTGGGTCCGACCCTGCCTGCCTGCCTGCCTCCCACCCTGTACTCATCTGGGCGGCCCCAAGTACCAGCGCGTCTCCAGCACCTACCAAGTTGTTCCGCCCTGGGGTGGATTCACTGGGACCACTCAGGAAGTTACCTCCTACAGAAAGCCCTCCCTGATATCCCCGCCCCTCGCCCCCCCCCCCCACCGCCCCAAGACTATCTACATACCCCTTTAAGCTCCCTTAGCTCCGTGCCTTATCCGTGCTGTTGTTACTCTCTGCTACTGCACGTGGCCACCGCAGGTATGTACACACTTTGGGGAGGAGACTGTGTCATAATCGTCTTCGTAGCCCGGCTCCTAGCCCATCAGCCGTGCCCCTGAAACCTCAAGAACGTTCCTCTGCAGAGAAGCCAGAGCACCCTCCGTGTGTTTTTAACCAAGGTCTAGGGGATCCGGAGCCAGAGGGGGTGACCAAGGAACTTCCATTGCTTTGGCAATCACAGCCTGCCCGAGGCCCACGTGGGTAATGGCGAGGGATGCGCAGCCGACGAGAGGTGGCGCTCAGGGTCTGGCGCTCATCTGAGCCCGGGAGCGGCAGGTGGGTGGCCGGGGACTGGGCAGGCGCATGCGCGCCGTCGTCATGCCAACGCTTCCGCGGCAGCCTAGGGGTGAAGAGGAATATGTGGGGCCGCCAGAAGGAGACCGCGGGGCCTGGGCCTGGGTCCCCCACTCCCGTACCCACGACAACCCCTAATCCGTCCTCGGCCCCCGCGGACGGTAGTGGTAAGAAATCGGATGTCCTTCGGCGCCCGCCCGGCCCACGGGAAGTGCAGGAGGCGTCTCCGGCCCCAGCGGCAGGGTCGCTGGCACAGCCCGTTCCTCCCAGCGGGCTGCCAGCTGGAGGCGGTGTGGCAGGCGGGCGCCCCTGGGAACCTCAGCTGCGGCCAGAACTTTGGGGCCCCCAAATGTGGGTGGGAAGGGAGCCCCAAGTTACCCCGATGGGTCTGCCCTTCACACTAGCCATTGTCCTGGAGGAAGGTGTGTCTGTTGCTTTACCCTTATCAGAGTCTCCGGGAAAGTTCTGGGGCCCTTTATTTGGGGAAGTTCCAGAAAGCAGGGCCTAGGTGGGCAAGAGGGCCTTGAGACCGTTCTGACTTGGTATCTATGTCACCTCCGTTTTAAATATTTCTGCAACCGTGAATGATCTCTAGCAAATTAAGCATAGCCTGCACCTCCCTCCTCTTGCCACCATTTCCATTTTGGATGTTTGTATTAATGTGCCTATAGATTCGGAAATGTGCTAGAAGACTATCCTTGAGATGGGCACCGTGCTCTGCTTTTAGCATAAGAGGAAATTTAAGATGGGAGAATTAAGATAACTTGTTCAAAGTCACACAGCTGATCCTGGGCAACCACCCCAGGCTGACTCACTCCCAACCCTTAGATTTTCTGGTATTTGGCTGTTCCAGTATAGAAGGGCTTAGGGGACCACCTCCAAAATGAGCCCTTTCTTTAGAAATTTTAAAACGTGCTGCCCGGTGAAAAATATTTGGAATACAAGAAAAATGACATTTGAGTTAGATTCTTTATATTTTCTTGTGTAACTGGTTAGTCTTAGTTTTAGCTTTACAATTTGAAGATGGATTTATTATTCTCCCCTAAGATGAATACAGGAAATAAATTTTTGGTACCATAAAATCCTGACATACAACATGAAAGAGCATAGCAGAAAAATATAGCAGAAAATTTTAAATACTTTAAATCCATGGTTAGGTAATAAGAATTTCCTTTTCCTTTTCCTTTTCTTTTCTCCCTCCTCCCCCCCACCCTTAAAAAAAAAAAAAGATTTTATCTATTTATTTGCAAGAGAGAGCACAAGCTGAGGAGAGAGACAGAGGGAGGAAACAGACTCCTAGCTGAGCAGGGACCCCAACATGGGGCTGGACCCCAGGATTGTGACCTGAGCTGCAGGCAGATGCTTAACCCACTGAGCCACCCCGGAGCTCTTAAGAATTTTCCTGTAACTTTCTTTAGCTATATTAGCTTGTAGTCTAAGATTCCTTCCCTCAGAGAAACATGAGTTCTAAGTCGTGAAAAGTTTCTTATGCACATCCTGGGTGTGGTGCAGCCAGCTGAGGGCAGGCTCAGTCTTTGCTTTTTAATACCAAGGAAGGTAGTAGCCAGAAGGGAGAAAAGAAGCCTGGTGGGAGCCCAGCTCCAACAAGTAAATTTGTTACAGATCAATTTGCTGTGTTGTCTGTGGAGAATGCTAAAGTAGCATTTTGTAGCTTGAACTCTGTGTGAACCATGGTCACATAAGTCTGGGAAACGGAATATTTTTATTCTCCCTTCTCTTCAGGCTCAACAATTTGAAGTCTTTGTGCCCTTGAGTGTTGTAAATGTCCTGAGAAGTATTATAGAGGTCTGTTTAGCTTTAATTCAGAACTTCCCAAATGTATATGACAATAAAATCTATTCTATTTAGAACATGTTTGATCATCTTATGAAAGATTTGTATTCTGAAGAACAGTTTGGGAAATATTGTGCTAAAATGTTATTTAGATTCATGGAAATTTCCTAAAATAAGGGTTTCTTATATACATCAACCCATAAGACAGGAAATTCTGTTGACATTAAAATTTTTCCAAGGCTGACATGGGAAAACTCTATGTTAACTGAAAAGATATAGAACTGTACTGAAATATTCCAATTTTTAAAAAAAGGCTAATATGTACATAATTGAGAAAATAAGGAGGAAATACCCAGAGACCTTAATTGTAATGGTTCTTTAACATAGGATTGCTGATAATTATTTCCTTTCGATATTGAAATTTCCAACTTGTCTGGAATAAGTGGGTTAAATTAAATTTTTAAAAGCTGATTTAAAAGATGGGGCACCTGGGTGGCTCAGTGGGTTAAAGCCTCTGCTTTCAGCTCGGGTCATGATCCTAGGGTCGTGGGATCGAGCCCCACATGGGGCTCTCTGCTCAGCGGGGAGCCTGCTTCTCCCTCTCTCTCTCTGCCTACTTGTGATCTCTGTCTGTCAAATAAATAAATAAAATCTTTAAAAGCTGATTTAAAAGAAAACTATTAAGAAAAGTTTAGTGCTTTCATTTTTAATGTAATGTTCCTCATTTTAAATCTTGTTCTGCAAGTTTGTTTAGCAAACTCTTTGAGTTCATACAGTACAGAAATCTCAGCAAAGTACATCTCTTGAGATGCAGAAACTCAGAGGCTGGCTCCTGAAGACCCCAAGCTGGTTGAGTAGTGAGATCTCTGAGCACAGATTTTTATTTTTATTTTTTTATTTTATTATTATTTTTTTAAGAGTCCTATACAGGGGCACCTGGGTGGCTCAGTGGGTTAAGCGTCTGCCTTCGGCTCAGGTCATGATCTCAGAGTCCTGGGATCAAGCCCCGCATCGGGCTCTCTGCTCAGTGGGGAGTTTGCTTTTCCTTCTCTCTCTGCCTGCCTCTCTGCCTGCTTGTGATCTCTGTCAAATAAATAATTAAAATCTTAAAAAAAAAAAAAAAAGACCTATACAAAAGATAAGACAGAAAACAAAGATAGTGGTAGGTGCTTCTAAGAAGAGGAACAACATCACTTCTACCCGCAGAAGGCTTGGGTCTTCCAAAGATCCTTGTAAATTAATATCCAAAACAGTAAGACCATTAAGGAAAGCTTCAGGCATAACAGAGGAAGGAGATTTCAACTCCTGCTTTGTTTCTATCATCTTTATTAAGGACTGAACAGAGAAAAATCAACCTTTACAAAGAGGAAGTGAAAGGCCAGGGTAGGTGAAGAGCTTCTCTGAGTCTGGCCTCAACTCAGCTTTAGGAGGAACCGACAGAGCTGTAGTCAGAGATGCCATCAACGTGCATGTGTAGAGGGTATCCAGGGAGCCTTGGGGACTCACGGATTTTTCAGATCCTTTTTGAGTTTAGATCCTCTGATTAAAATGTTTTTATTTGATTAAAATAAAAAAATTTTAAATAAATTTTTATTTTAAATATTTTTATATTTTAATATTTTTAATAATATTTAAGAAAATAAAAAATTTTTATTTGACATCCTGTTAAGAAAACGTGAGTCCCCTAACCCAGTGTGGTAGAGTGGGAAGAGGCTTTGGAGTCTGTTTTTTATACTCTACCCTTATTAGCTGTATGATTTTGGACAAAATCTTTAATTTCTCTGAATATCCTTTTCCTCTGCTACCAGGATGTTCTTCTTTGTGTCACTTACAAGTTAGTGTCTGCCTAGCCTCAGTGAGTGTTCCTATGGCCCTGCTTCTCCAAACAGCATTTTTATTCCCCCTAATTCCTTCTATTTTCTTCCTTTCTCTAGTCTTAATTCTTTTGCCCTTTCTTCCTCACTCCTGACTCTATACATACACATTCTTATCTTTGAAGAAGTGTAATTTTTTGGGAGGGGAAGGAGTGGGGACAGGAAAGGTCCTGATATCATTTATATGTGATGAAGAGTAATGCACTTATTTTTCAAAAGCTCCAGAAGTTACTGGCCATCTCCAGGAAACTTACTATAATCTTTGTATGGAAAAGTCCCAGAAAATTAATTATTTTATATTGCATATACTCCAAGAAGTCGATGAAGAACTCGAAAAGGGGTAAGGAAGACAAATACTTGATTACATAAGTAGTATTCACTGACCTCCTTCTGTATGAAAATCCTGGAATACTGAGTGATTTGTTTAAAGTGATTTGTCCATGGCTTTTAAAAGAGATCTACCTTTTGATTTAGAACAGTGGCTGATGGACACTGTTAGCTGGTCTTGGAGGTAGCAGAGTACACAAGGAAAAACAGTAGTTCAGTGGCCTCCAAGTCTAGCCTTCCGATTTGTCCTGAACTCCTGGGAGCTGGATTTATTTGTGAAAATATTGAAGTCTTTGATGTGATTACCTATCAGGAGGAGTGTGTGTGTGTGTGTGTGTGTGTGTGAGAGAGAGAGAGAGAGAGAGAATAAAATTATATACTATAGGAGTATTTACAAAATCTGTTGAATATTCAGTCGTCTTAAGTTACTTGGTATAAATCTGTATTGTGATACATACTTGGTTTCAGTAAATGCTATTCATGATGTTACTATTTATATAGGGGGAAAATACTTCTATTTCTTTAGTGGGTTTCTTTTTTGCATTTTAATAGGTCAGAAGGAATCACATTAAATATTGCTGGTAACAGTCGCTTAATGCCAGAAGAAAGAGTAACAGGCAAAGATTTTTGGATTCTTTTCAGAATTTTAAAGAAGAATCCATATATCAGTGGTATATGTCTCCTTAAAAATCATTACCTCTTTAATTTTCCTGATTTTAATTATTCAGTATAAGGAATATCAGTCTGTATTCATCCGTGTTCTTCAGGTTTGGATGTTAGATATAACCTCATAAGTGATGTTGGTGCATACTATGCTGCAAGACTGCTTCAGGTATTTTACTACAAAATGTTGTTAGTTCTTTTTGTTTTCTTCCAGGAGTCAGTTAAGAACCAGTACTTTTTCTTTGGAAGGTACATGGTTTGAGTACCTCAAGTCTGCTAAGTTAATAACCCTTTATTGCAGACTTCTTTGAAGATGCCCATGCTGAAATGCTGCACTGTGGTTGCATTTCATTTAAGAGAGACAGTGGGGTCCAAAAAAAAAAAAAAAGTGTGGTCCACCAATCAGAGTAGGTGTACTTTAAGAAAAGGCTTTGTTTCAACCTCAGAAGATTGGCAAATATAGGTATGTGTTTGTATTTTCAGTTAAAATGTTTAAAGCAGCATTATCACTATTGTTTAAATTGGCTATTTAAGTTCCTAACTACTTTCCCCAATCGCTAAATATACTTGTAATGAGCTTAAAAATGATCTTAAAATTCTCATGTCCATGAGGGGCACCTGAGTGGCTCAGTCCTTAAGCGTCTGCCTTCAGCTCAGGTCATGATTCCTGTGTCCTGGATAGAGCCCCACATCGGGCTCCCTGCTTGGCAGGAAGCCTACTTCTCCCTCTCCCTCTCCTCTGCCCTTGTGTTCCTTCCCTTGCTGTGTATCCCTCTGTTAAATAAATAAATAAAATCTTAAAAAAAATTTCTCCTATCCATGAGATGGCACACAGCACAAGGACAGAGTGAAGATTAAGAAATATGAACTAATTCTCAGCAATTACAAAAATGTTGCAAAAATCACCAAAATGTTCTTAAGTTTTCTTAATTCTGTTTGCAGTGAAACCACCTAGTCTAGCGGCACACACAAAATGCTAGTCTTGCAAAATGTCCAGGGTCCTGACCTTGCACTGTATTTACAACACTTGAAATAAACTAAAAACCCACTTGTGTATTTAAATGTTCTTGGTAGATTGCTGGCAACTAGAGCTCCTAAGTCATCTTTTGCAAACTTGTACACTATGGTTAAATAAAGGGCATTCATACTTTGAATAATTGATCAAAATAGAATAGTCTTTTTCTTTCACCTACATTGCAATTATGTTTAAATGAGCATGATGATTCCCACAGCCCACCCCACCCCAATGGTAGCTTTTTGTTGGACTTGGAGATTTTCTGTTACAAAGATTTTCTTTGGAGGTAAATTCTTTTACTTAAATAAAGCAGCGCCTGTATTTTTTTTCCTTAATAATTACATATGTAATAGCTTCTTTTCTCTTCTTATTATAGAAGCAACATAAACTCATTTACTTAAACCTTATGTTTAATGATATTGGGCCAGAAGGTGGAGAATTGATTGCTAAAGCACTACATGTAAGCATTTATATACCTCAAACATTTTCTTTTGGAATTTTAACTTCTGATAGCTTGTAATTAACCAAAATGTTATTGTGAACTCATTATTGTGCAAATATGTATTTTTATTACACTTCATTTTATTAAAATGTAATATTACATGAGCATTTTTGAACTCATTTTTAAAAAGCTTTAAGATACTTAGCATACATAAGAACTTACTTTTTCTCCATCAAAATTTAAGATTTTTGTTCAGTGGGTTTTTGTATATTCAGAATTGCATGTCCATCACTGTTTTTAGAACATTTCATCCCCCAAAGAAACCGTGTACACATTAGCAATCCTTCTCTATGCTTCTTTCACCCTCCCAGCCCCTGGCAGTCACTAATCTATGTTCCATCTAATAGATTGCCTATTCTGGACATTTCACATAAATGGAATCTTAAAATATGTGGTCTCCTGATGAACCTTGAAAGCTTAATGCTTTCAAGGTTCATCTGTATTGTAACATACTTGATTCTTATTGCCAAATAATATTCCATTGTTTGGATATATCCTATTCATCCATCAGTTAAGGACATTTAGGTTTCCACTTTTTGTCTACAATAATGTATGATGAATATTTGCACATTTTTGTATGCATGTTTTCAGTTTTCTTAGGTATATACCTAAAAGTGTAACTTCTAGATCGTTTGGTAACTGTTCAACTGTTTTCCAAACTGTCTTTTTACAAGTCCAACACTGTAGGAGTGTCCTCGTTTCTCTACATCCAGCACTTGTTACTGTCTTCTTGATTTTAGCCATCCTAGTAGATATGCAGAGGTTTTTGGGATTTGATTTGCATTCCCATCATGAATAACGAGGCTTAGCATTTTTTCATATGGCATTGTTTGGAAAAAATGTCTGTTCAAAGCCCATGTCTAGTTGTCTTTTTAAATGCTGATTTTTAAATGCTAGTCTGTATGTTCTGGATATAAGTCTCTTATACATGATCTGCAAATGTTTTCTGTCATTCTCTGGATTGCCTTTTCACTTCCTTCATGGTATCCTCTGAAGCACAAAATTAATTTTGATAAAGTTCAACTTTTTTTCCTTTGTGCTTTTGGTGTTATATCTAAGACCTTGCCTATCTCAAAATCATTAAGATTTATATTTGCATATTCTAACAGTTTGTTTTTAGCTCCTTTGTTTAGTTCTTTGATCCATTTTGAGTTAATTTTTGTATATGGTGTGAGGTAGGAGTCTAACTTCTTCTGCATGTGGATATCCAGTTGTCCCAACACTATTTAAGATTATTCCTCCCCCATTAATTTTCTTGATGCCCTTGTCAAAAATTGATTACAGTTTCTCTACTCTTCATTCTATTCTATTAACCTGTATGTCTGTTCTTATGTCAGTCCCACACAATCTTGATTACTGTAGTCTGTAGTCAGTTTTGAAGTCAAGAAGTGAGTCCTTTTTGTTGTTTCAAGATGTGTTGGCTCTTCTGGGTCCTTTGCATTTCCGTATGAATTTTAAGACCAGTTTATCAATTTCTGCAAGAAAAACAAGGATTTTTTTTTATAAGATTTTATTTATTTGACAGAAATCACAAGTAGGCAGAGAGAGGAAGAAGCAGGCTCCCCGCCAAGCAGAGAGCCCGATGCTGGGCTCGATCCCAGCACCCTGAGATCATGACCAGAGCCGAAGGCAGAGGCTTTAACCCACTGAGCCACCCAGGTGCCCCCCAAAACAAGGATTTTGAGAGAGTTTCTTTCAATCTTTAGAAAATTTGGGGAGTACTGTCATCCTAACAGTATTGTCTTCTGATTCATGACGTGGGATGTGTTTTCATTTATTTATATCTTTCATTTCCTTCAACAGTGTTTTGTTTTTAATGTACAGGTCTTGATTTTGCTAAATTTACTCCTAATACTTTATTAACTTTTTGATGCTACTATAAATGGGACAGTCTTTTTTTTTTTTTTTTAATATTTTATTTGACAGATACAACAAGAGGGGGAACACAAGCAGGGGGAGTGGGAGAGGGAAAAGCAAGCTTCCCGCTGAGCAAGGAGCCCCATGCGGGGCTAGATCCCAGGACACCGGGATCATGACCTAAGCCGAAGGCAAATGCTTAACCGACTGAGGCACCCAGGTGCCCCTAAATGGGAGTCTTAATTTCAGTTTTGGAGTGTTCATTGCTAGTGTGTAGAAATACAATTGATTTTTATATATTGGTGGTGTGTCCTGCAGTCTTGCTGAACGCACTAGTTCTAACAACTTTTTTAGGTGGATTCCTTAGGATTTTTCATGTATAATATCCTGTTATACGCAGACATAGTTTTCTTCTCCAATGTGGGTGCCTTTTTTTCTTTTCCTTGCCTAACTGCCTCATCTAGAACCTGCAGTACACTGTTAAATGGCATTATTAACAGTGGACCTCCTTGCCTTCTTCCTGTTAAGGGGTTTCAGTTATTTGCAGTTATGTCCTCTACTATTTATTAGGACACTGAAATGTCTAATTTTCTTTGTGAAAGAATTATCAAGAGTGAAATGAGAGGAGTTAAACTTTGCAAGTGTCTGAGGAATTACATTCCTTTAAAAGTGATGGAGAATATAAAGTGATTGCTTAATGGGTATAGGGTCTCCTTTGTTGGGGGTGGGAGGGTGAAGTGTTTTCGAAACTAGCTAGGTGATGGTCCTTGAACATTGTGAGCATTGTGAACCTATACATTGTGAACTTATTAAAAACATAACATTGTGAACTTATTAAAAACCAGTGAATTGTATACTTTAAAATGGTTTACTTTGGGTTATGTGAATTTCACCTAAAAAAAAAAGTGGTATAATTTTCTTAAAAACGAATCTATAGATTTCTCAATGAAAGGAAAACTTATAAAATCTGCTTCATTTACTGGGCATCTGTTTCCTGGGCATTCTTTCCAGCAAAAAATTAAACCAGATTTTTATCTTATTGGGAAACTAAATGTTATTTTTAAGGAATATCCTATTCTATCTCCATGAAACCATGAAAACTTGAGTCTGCAAATAGTAAAAGTCTGCTAACTGATGTAATCAAGAAAAAATTTTGTGGAATACAAATTTAATGAAGTTTTGATTCTTTTTCTTTTCAGAAGAATACAACTCTGAAATACCTAAGAATGACTGGAAACAAGATTGAAAATAAAGGTGGAATGTTTTTTGCTGCAATGCTACAAATTAATTCATCTTTAGAAAAATTAGATTTGGGTGACTGTGACCTGGTAAGTAAAATTGTTGAGAAAAATCACCCACGTACTGCATCGATCTCCTTGGAAATAGGATAAGGAATTGTTGAAGAGATCAGCTAAATGAGAGTCTTATGACTGATTAAGCTTGTCCCTAATATCTAATATCAGGGAAAAAAAGATTTTTTTTTTGTTTTGCTTTGATTTACTATTAGGCATATCAGTGTTATTAATAAGATTGTATTAAATAATACTATAGAGGAATAACTAGAATAAAATTCTTCCCAAGCTTCTATCTATAACCCTTCTTAACTTATACAGGACTTTTTGAGAAAAAAAAAAATGTTAATTGAAAAAACGCTACTTCATTAGAAAGCCTATATTCTAGTTGGGAAAATATCAAAGAGAAAAGTGCTACAAAGATAGCTAAGTACTCTGTCTGGTAGGAGGTAATCTGCATGATAGCATGGTCGCCTAGTATCTGAGGAACTACCTTGGAAACGGTCCATGGCAGAACATCCCAGGCAGGGGTCCAGCACACACACACTCTAAGATAGTGCTACCCTGACTATGGTATGGGTAGCACAGCTATTACAGATAGAGGTAATTTTACTACTCATGTATTTATTTTTACAGATGCTCTATTTTGAGGAATTAGTTTTCCATTTATGGTTGTGATAGAACTTTAAAGTGGGAAAAGTGAGTTGATTTAATAGAAAACTATTAAGTAAACAGTAAAACTGATAGTATTATATGGCAGAAATCATGAGTGGTACGTGAATAATGAAAGGCTGAGTCTGGCAGGTTTTAAGAACTGAAAAGCCAGAGTGGCTAGTCAGAGTATCTCAAAGTGTGGGTGAGAGTGTGCAGAGGCCAGATCAAGCAGTGCTGTATGGGTTGTGGGTCAAGGCCAGGGGAAAAGGGGATTGGGTTCTAAATACATCTCATAAGGCTTTGAGTGGTGATGTGATTTGATTTGTCCTTTAAAAAATAGATCACTCTGGGGCACCTGGGTGGCTCAGTGGGTTAAAGCCTCTGCCTTCAGCTCAGGTCATGATCCCGGGGTCCTGGGATCGAGCCCCGAATCAGGCTCTCTGCTCAGCATGGAGCCTGCTTCCTCCTCTCTCTCTGCCTGCCTGCCTGCCTGTGATCTCTGTCAAAAAAAAAAAAAAATCACTCTGGTTTCTGTGGGGAATTAGAGGGTAGCAAGAAGCTCACTGACCACTTAAAGTTATGGTCCAGGTGGGTTAAAAGGACTGGGGGTGGGTGGTGGCACACAGATGGGTTAATCTGAGACCCCTTTTAGAGACAATCTCTAAGACTTACTGATTATTTGGATGGGAGGGTAAGTAGACTGGTGAAGAGGAGGCCCAGGTTTCCTAGTGTTACAGCTGGGGGTGTGTGGTGATGTCCAACACAGAAATCAGGGAGAATTAGGCCCTTCCAATAAGGTATTTCCACTGCACACACACTGAAAGTAACGAGTATGCACATAAAAGAATGCTTTCACAAGGTCTGTTCTAAGTAGTGTAGAGCCCTAGCTGGGATCTGCATGTGTGTCTGGGTATCCGAGGCCGGAAACACACAGAAACTTGAGGACTCAGGAGCGAACCTAGAGGTGAATGTCCTAAGAAATAGATACTGAAACTTTAAGAAACTCCCTGTGCATGTTATAGATTTTAGGGCAGGGAGAAAAGAACATAGTAACAATTTACTTCTGAGTTTGATCAAACTATAATTCAGGGTTTACAGTTCTGACAGATAAATAAAATCTTAAAATACAGTTTATTTCTCTGAATCTAGATTACTGATTTTGAAATAGGGAGATTATATACTTTGTCAGCTCCTTAACGAATTTACTGTTTCTAGGGAATGCAAAGTGTGATAGCATTTGCTACAGTCCTAATGCAAAACCAAACAATTAAGGGAATAAACCTAAACCGACCTATACTGTATGGTGAACAGGTATGTATTCAAAGTGATGACAGCTAATATTACATGTGAAAAAAACGAAGGTACTATTTACTGAAGGTTATTTCAAGGTTCATATTTTTAGAATTTACTGTATTTACAAAGAACTTACTTGAAGAAAAATTGAGTTAAATTATGATTTTAGATGTTGTTTATTTAAGCAGTAAACAGGTTTTTTTTCTTTCTTGTAAACTCAGATTAACGGTGAGTAAACCTGTAAAGAGGCAAAGTAGTCAAGACGAAAACAATGATTAAAGTTTTAAAGGCTGTGAATTTTGTTGTTATTTTACTATCACTAAACTGCTTTGAAATCATGAGTAACAGTGGCAGAATGTGTGTGAAGTCTGGACTTGATCCTATAGGTAAGCTGCAAGCTGGAGACAAGATGATGAGTAAAAACATGGTAGTTGCTTTCAAGGCTTCTCCGTGTTCTTTAACATTCTTTCAGAAGTGGCAGACAAGGTTCTCAGAACGAGGACATGAGATTTGAAGGCTAAATCAAAATGTTCTGATTAAAGCCTTGAGGAAATAAGTATGTTAAACTATGTGAAATCACATTAGAAACACCATTCCTCTTTTAAGTGTGTTGAGTGGTGTCATTATTCCCAAATCCGAGAATAGTTAAGAAAAGCCCAAGGTCTTTCTCAGGTGCAGGCCCTTGCTCTTAGCCCAGTCCTTCTAGCAGTCAGCTAAACTCCAGGCTGCTTTCTTTTCCTCTCCAAGGCAGCCACTCTCTGTCCCTCTGAGTCCTAGTCTCTTCAGTGGCTGTGGAGTAGAGTCCTGGGCTTCTTCATACTTTGCTGTTCCCAAACATAAGCCTGCAAACCTATTCCATTTCACTATCTGGGGAGCATGGAAAGATACTGATGCCAGGTGCCATCCTAAGCAAACTGTCAAAGTTGATAAATGATCTGAAAACACTATTTCTGATTTTTAGTTCCCTTCCTTAATAAGGGTGGTCCCTCAACCAAATTTCTTGATCTAAAAAAAAAAAACCAAACCACAATCAAAGCATAAAACACAAACATGTATCCTGTCCCGTTCCAGGCACCATGCAGAGCAACACTGGACCCCCTACGTGGTCAGTTTGCATTTGTTAAGATCCCAAACTATAGCTCCTTTTGGGCCTTTTTCAGTGTCAGCAATAATTTAAATAAATCAGATACAGGATTATAGACTACTGAACAATAAAAAAATGCTTTATAGTGTTCTATAGATCAGTTATTTTATGCTAGGGACTTTTTTGTTAATTGTGAGGGAAGTTTAATTTTACCTACCTTACAGATAAGGAAACAGACTTAGCTAGATGAAATCATTTGCCCAAAGTCAGGCAGCTAGTATAGAGCTAGTATTTGGACAGTTTTCTCATAAAGTTCATATACTTTTATTACAAAACTCATGTACTGTCTGCTACTGCTACATGATTTAACTTTTGTAGTTTTTCTCAGTTATTATGTAGAAGTACATAATTTGAGCATACAGAGATATCCATGTTCGTGATCAGCATTTCCAGTGACTGTAAAACTTACAAATACAGCAATCTGGGGACACCTGGGTGGCTCAGTCGGTTAAACATCAGACTCCTGATCTCAGCTAAGGTCTTAATCTCAGGGTCATGAATTCAAGCCCTGCGTTGGGCTCCTTGCTGGGCATGAAGCTTACTTAAAAAGAAAAAAAGCAGCAATCAAGTAAGAGGACTTCTTACCATAAAATACTGACCCATTCATTTTAAGACCTGCTTTGACTTTGTTAAAAAAAAGTGCTTGGTATTCAAATCCTCATTGATGTTACATACTTTTTGCCTGGAAGGAGCTAGAGTTTGGAATTAAAAATAAGTCTTCCAGTGACTGGAAATGTATTTAGAGATTTGGGATGATTATAAAAAGGAAGAATTGGGTATCACAGGTCTCAGTGTATTTTTAAAATAGAACCAACATTGAGAAATGGCTTTATATTTTATCCATAAAGAGTGGAGATCAAGAGTAAAGTTCAGGAACATATGGGTATAAGAAACATCTGGAGATTCTTGAAAGGACAACAGTAAGGGAGCTTAATATGTGCAATATATCATGGGGCCAATCACCCCCGCCCAACCTGCCTTCTGGAGTGATTGTTTAGAACGGACTTTTTAAAACCAGCCTATTTACATCACTTAGTCACTGTACTTTCCAAATGCCTGCTGCTGGTTTTTAAAATGATAAAGTATCACTTGTGGTAAAAGTGATTTTTCTTAAAAACCAAGCCAAAGCAAATACAAATTATAGGCTAATAGTCTCAACTGGTATCTTTTTAAAAAGCTAATTTAAGTAACTTAGCATATATTTGGTACAGCTTCAAATGTACAGCTTCAAAACTGTATTTTAGAATAAGATTTTACCTATTTTTAGGAAGAATCCACAGTTCATCTAGGCCACATGTTGAAAGAAAATCACTGCCTTGTTGAACTACACGTGTGTAAGCATAATATAAAAAACTGTGGTATGAAACAGTTATGTGACGCACTGTATCTGAACAGAAGCCTACGCTACCTTGATGTCAGCTGGTAAGTGATAATACATTATAAGTCCTGGGAATAATCTATGTAAATATTCATGATACCGAGGCTACACTGTTAAGACAGTAATTCCAAAGATCAGAAGATACAACCATTGTTGTCAACTTTTTGTACTAAGCTTTAGTATCTAGTTTATATTGATTATTTTATCTCAACAATGTGAATGGAGCATTTAATCATGAGTAAACCAGAATGGAGCAACATTTTATAGCAAATTTTCATTAACTTTTTTGGAAACTGAGTGATTAAAATCTTTTACTAAACTAGAAAAATAATGTTCTATACAACAATTCTGAGGCATGTTAATCTCTGTGACTAAAAGAATACTTCATATTTTCAAATGTAACCATGTATTCTTCCCTTCCCAGCAATAAAATAACTTGTGACGGAATGGTGTGTTTGGCTGATGTACTGAAAAGCAATACTACCCTGGAAGTACTAGATCTTTCTTTTAACAGAATAGAAAATGCAGGAGCAAAGCATCTCAGTGAAACTCTTGCTTCACACAACAGGAGTCTTAGAGAGTTAGTATGGTTTTGTATTTAATCAAGAGAAAAACTTAAACTTTTAAAATACTAACATCAAGGGGCACCTGGGTGGCTCAGTGGGTTAAAGCCTCTGCCTTCGGCTCAGGTCGTGATCCCAGGGTCCTGGGATCGAGCCCAGCATCCGGCTCTCTGCTCAGTAGGGAGCCTGCTTCCTCTCTCTCTGCCTGCCTCTCTGCCTACTTGTGATCTCTGTCAAATAAATCAATCTTAAAAAAACAAAACAAAACAAAAACAACAACAAAAAAACTAACATTAATCCCCTTAAAACCCAAGATTCATGATGAAATATGAAAAATTTCTAAGCTGACATATTAAACATTTCAATTTTTTTCAAAAGTAATGTCTATTAAAAATTAGATTGATTCTAGGGGCGCCTGGGTGGCTCAGTGGGTTAAGGCCTCTGCCTTCAGCTCAGGTCATGATCCCAGGGTCCTGGGATCGAGCCCCACATCAGGCGCTCTGCTCAGCAGGGAGCCTGCTTCCTCCTCTCTCTGACTGCCTCTCTGCCTACTTGTAATCTCTGTCTGTCAAATAAATAAAATCTTTAAAAAAAAATTAGATTGATTCTAGCATTTATGATTGCTTAAGTTGGAGAAAATTCTTACTGCCTACTGTATTTATCCTGAATTCTATAGAAAAATCATTATGATCAAGACAAAAAAATAATCAAAATATTACTGCAGGACTCTATCCTGAGGGGTGTATTTGTAACCCACCACAAACATTTACTGAATAATAACAGACTATTGGTTTCTAAAATGTAGGTAACTCTACTAGGTACATGAGCATCCACTTAAAAAATGAAGTTTCTTGGGTTTTAGTTAACATTTTTTTTTTTAAGATTTTTATTTATTTATTTGACAGAGATCACAAGTAGGCAGAGAGACAGGCAGAGAGAGGCGGGGAAGCAGGCTCCCTGCTGAGCAGAGAGCCCGCTGCGGGGCTCGATCCCAAGACCCTGGGATCATGACCAGAGCCGAAGGCAGAGGCTTTAACCCACTGAGCCACCCAGGCGCCCCAGTTAGCATTATTCTTAAGTATCTTTACTTCCCAAGATTTTACACAATAAAATATTTACAAAATAAAATAAATGTTGTTGGCTAACTTATGCATCTTCTTTGTGGAAGTATGTATTGGTTTCCAGGGTTATTACTTGTTTCTGATAGGTTGTCAGTAGTCAGCAACAACATACAGGGAGAAGGACTGGTTGCACTTTCACAGTCAATGAAAACAAATCTCACACTCTCGAATGTTTACATTTGGGGAAACCAATTTGATGAGGCTACATGTGTGGTAAGTTTTTTTTCTTCCTTCACTAAAGGCTTTTCCTGGGGTCTTCTCTATAGTGTCAGGCATTTACAGGTGGCCTTGGAAATGATTCCAAAATGTAGTAAGACACTTCAGTTTTGATAAATTTTAACATAAGTCCTAAAAACTAAGCACTGGAAAGTTTTGTGGTTTAAATAGAAGGCAACGAATACCATATATTAATATAGAGATCACTGAATTATACAATCCCAATTCCTCTAAAAAAATATTTTAAAAACCGGAACTACTGATTTATTCTAAATTTGATGTAGCACAATCTCTAGTCTGCTGCCCAATAATTAAACCAAGACATGGAATTTGGAGACCTAGTCTTTTATGTTGCTTTTAGGTTGCTTATGTGAACAGAGCCCTTGATACCACCTGCAAAACAAAAAGCATTGTAACAAATAGTTTTTATTTGGAAAGAATGAAGATGCTAAAATTCTCAATTTGCAAAAAGACTATCCAAAATTCCACCTCCAAAAAGAGTAATAAAATATACTATTTAAACCCTTGATTTCAGAAAAAGATCATATTCTACACACTAGAATGAGTTTGGAATAATAAGCCTAAGCAGAAAACAGCTAAAATTTTAAATTTTTTACTATCTATATATCTTTCTCTATACTCACAATCTTATTAACCAACCATTTTAACATGTTTGTATGACACCCTTAACAAAGATACCAATGATCCTTAAGTGATATACAAAGAAAATTCTACAATGAAGATAGAATTAGGCTACAGCCAGGTCAGCATCTGATACTACAGAAATTGTCTTAGCCTCAATCTATACATTAGCTTCAGGGAGTTCATGAACTCCATACAGCTGTATGCCAAAATCTGGTTGCTTATTTTTCTGTGAAATGGGTCCCTGGCTATCATCAAGATTTTCAAGGCATACACAATTCCCTCCTCCCTCATTTCCAAACCCCTGTAGGACTTGAAAATTTTGACAATGAGACCTTTGGCCCACAAAATCTATAATACAGAGAACTGTTAATTCTGGGAGCCATAAAACAAAATACTTCAAAACTTAGAAGTAACTTTTTCAAGATTATAATTATGTGAAATTAAGTGAATAAAAAGTATATGTAAAAAATACTAAAATTTAGTATTTACTCAGAATATTTTAAACTGAAAATCACAGCTAATCTGAAAATTGCAATTAGCTTATTCATTTTATGGAAATTAAACAATTTTCTTAATGACAGGTTTCTCTTTTCTTAAAAATCATAGGCTTATTCAGACTTAATTCAAATGGGCCGTCTAAAACCAGACAATACAGATGTGGAGCCATTTGTGGTGGATGGACATGTGTATCTTGCAGAAGTCTCCAATGGCCTTAAAAAGCATTACTACTGGAGACCAACTTACGGAGAAGCTTGCACGAACTCACCTAATGCAGGTTTTACTCTTGTACCAGTAGGTGGACATCTATGAAAAACAAGCTCTGAAATTTTCACATTATTTGTCTTATGTTAATATTGCCTATTAAATTCTTATAGAACATCTTACCTTTTATACATTTGAAAAAAATTATATTAAAATGACTTTGTATAACTGTCCACTGTGGAAAAACAGTATCATTGTTTTAAAAGAAATTTTACAGGAGAGGGAAGATGGCAGAGTAGGAGAATCCTAAATTCACCGCCTCCCCGTACCCCGGCCACACATGGTGGCAACTGCTGCATGTACTGCTACTCACTCTGAAAACTACCTGACGGGTGGCAGAACAGATCACCCACAGCTAGGTGTAGATCATCCACAGCTAGGTGTAGCAAGGTCACATCAAAAGCGTAGGAGGTACAGAGCTGCCATCTGCCATCGGTAATGAAACTCCTGGAGTGACCACTCACAAAGGTGAGGGACATTACAGGCGAGGAGGAGCGACCCCACAATGGACACCCTTGGCCCTGAGGACTTGCACTAGGAAGACCAGTCTCCATAATGTCTGGCTTTGAAAATCAGTGTGGCTTAACTCCAGAAGAGCTGGAGGGCTACAGGAAACCAAGTCTTTAAAAGCTAACACATTAAATAACTTGGCCCAAGACAGAGCATAGAAGCAGCAGTTTGAAAAGTGCCTGGGGTATATCTGAGAGAGATTTATCAACTAGTTTTAGGATGTGTACAGGAGGGGCAGGAATCTATAGGAAATAAACAGGAGCTTTCCCTGGGCTTGAAAGTGCTAGTGGGTGCCATTTTTCTTGTCCTCTCCCAGCCTAGACAGTCAGATACTTGTAGAAGCCAGTTCTGACCTTCTCCCCCTACCTTGCTAGCACTGTGTGCCCTGCCCTTCCAACCTGCCCACTGTGGTAGGCACCCCTCCACAGCATCTCCTGCCCTGGGGAGTGGGGAGCTAACCCCACATACCAGTGCACATGCAGATGTTGTAGCCGTGCTTCTCAGCTGCCTCTAGAGGGAGTAAGCCCTACCCCTCAGTGTGTCTGCAGCAGTCACCCTCTCATTCCAGACAGCACTGGGCTGCAACCAGGTCTCACAGTCACCCACACAGGAAACAAGCGCTGCCTACCAGTGAGCCCAGAGCAGGCAATGCGGACCACCGCAGACAGGCTGAGTGCTGGCCCAGTCTGCATGATGTAGAGATGACTAGGGTTTATTAGCCAGCTGTGCAGCAGACAAGCCCTGCCCACCAGTGTGCCCTTAACACTACAGGATGATTACTGAAAACGGTAGGGCAGAGGGCTAGCATCATCCACCAGCACGCCAGCATCCGGCATAGCTCAACCTCAACAAATTCTGGTGACCAGAGAGGGCCATGTTGCAGGTTAACTACAGGACACGTTCCACACAAGGCCACTACTTTCAAGACCAAGAGAAGCAGCTGACTTACGTAATTCACAGAAACACAAAATGAGGAGACACAGGAATACGTCCCAAATAAAAGAAGGCAAAACCACAGAAAAAGAGATCAGCAATATGCCTGATAGAGTTCAAGGTAATGGTCAGAAAGATACTCACCAGACTTGAGAGAAGAGTGGCTGAACTCAGAACTAGTCAGAGGTGAAGAATGTAGTAACTAAAATAAAAAATGGGCTAGAGGAAATCAGTGGATTAGAAGATAAAGAAGAATCAATCAGTGATCTGGAAGACAGGGTAATGGAAAACATTCAAGCTGAACAGTAAAAATAAAAAATGAGAATAAGTTAAAGTATCTCTGTGACTTATCAATTGTATGAACATTTGCATTATGGGATCCCAGAAAGAGATGAGAGAAGGGGAACAGAAAGCTTATTTGAAGAAATAACAGCTGAAAACTTCCTTAATCTGGGAGGAAACTGATCTCTAGGTGCAAGAAGCAAGAAGAGTCTTAAGATGAACCCAGGGAGGTCCACACCAAGATACATAATTAAAATGACAAAAATTAAAGAGAAAGTCCCAAAAGCAAGAGAAAAGCAAACAGTTACATATATACATGGGAAACCCCATAAGGCTATCAGCTCATTTTCAGCAGGACTCTATAGACCAGAAGGGCATGGCATCATCAAAGCGCTCAAAGAAAAAAGCAAAACAAAACCTCTGCAACGAAGAATACTTTATCCAGCAAGACTATCACTCAGAATCGAAGGGGAAAGTGTGTCCCAGACAAACAAAAGTTAAAGGAGTTCATCACCTCTAAACTAGCTTTACAAGAAATGTTAAAGGAGATTCTCTAAGTGGAAAGGAAAGGCCACAGTGGAAGAAAATTAGGAGAAAATTTCACAGTAAAAGCAAACATATAGTTAAGGTAGTAGATCAATCACTTAGAAACCTAGTAAGGAGGTTAAAATAAAAGTAGTAAAATCAATTTTATCTATAAAAACTAGTCAGGGGATACACAAAAAGAGGTAAAATATGACCTCATATACCTAAAACATGGAGGGGGGAATAAAACTTCAGTGCTCTTAGAGAACTTAAGAGACCATGATCTCAATATAGACTGCTATTACACAGGGTGTTATATATGAACCCCAGGGTAACAACAAAGCAAAAACCTCTAACAGATACACAAGAAGAGAAAGGAATTCAAGCAGGACACTAAAGAAAACCATGAATCACAAGGGAAGACAGAATTACAGAAACAACCAGCAAACAACAAAATGCTAGTAAGTACATACCTATCAATAATTACTTTAAATGTAAATAGACTGGGGTGCCTGGATGGCTCAGTCATTAGGCATCTGCCCTTGGCTCAGGTCATGATCCCAGAGTCCTGGGATCCAACCCCTCACAGGGCTCCCTGCTCAGTGGGGAGCCTGCTTTCTCCCTCTCCCTGCTGCTCCCTGTACTTCTGCTCACTGTCAAATAAATAAATAAAATCTTAAATAAATAAATGAATGAATGAATAAATGTAAATGGACTAAATGCTCCAAGGAAAAGATATAAGGTGACTGAAAGGATAAAAAAACAAGGCCCATCTATATGCTGCCTACAAGAGACATCAGACCTAAAGATGCATACAGACTGAAAGTGAAGGGATGGAGGGGTGCCTGGGTGACTCAGTCAATTAAATGTCTGCCATCAGCTCAGATCATGATCTCAGGGTCCTAGGATAGAGCCCCACATTGGGCTCCCTGCTCAGCGGGGAGTCTGCTTCTCCCTCTCCCACTGTCCCTCCCCTCTGCTTGTACATGCTCTCTCTCAAATGAAAAAATAAAATCTTAAAAAAAAAAAATGAAGAGATGGAAAAAGATATTCCATGCAAATGAAGCGGCGGGGGAAATGGGATACCAATACTAATTATTAGGTAAAATAGACAAAAAAAAAAGACTGTAAGGAGACAAAAAAGGTCATTAAATAATGATAAAAGGATCAGTTCATTAAGAGTATATAATAATTACAAATACCTACGCATCCAACATAGGAGCACCATATAGATATATAAAGCAAATATTAACAGACATAAAGAGAGAAACTGACAACACAGTAACAGTAAGGTGCTTTAACACATGCTTACGTCAATGGATAGGTCATTCAGACAGTAAATCAAACCGTGGCTTTGAATGACACACTAGACCAGGTAGACTTAACAGATATACACAGAATTTTCCATGCCAAAACAGCAGAATGTCTATTCAAGTGCACATGGAATATTCTCCAGAACAGATCACATGGCAGACCATAGAACAAGTCTAAGAACACTGAAATCATATCAAGCATCTTTTACCACCATAACAGTATGAAACTAGAAAGAGATCAATTATAAGAAAACTGAATGAAAAACAAAATACCTGGAAGCTAAATAACAGATTACTAAGAAACCAATGGATCAAAAAAGAAACAAAGAGAAAATCAAAACATACTTGGAGACTAATGGAAATGGAAACACTACAGTTCAAAATCTTCAGCACACAGCAAAAGTATTTCCAAGAGGGAAATTTATAGTGATATAGGCCTACCTCAAGAAACAAGAACATTTTAAACAATCTAACCTTATATCTAAAGAACCAGAAAAAGAAGAACCAACAAAGCCCAAATAAATGAAATAGACACTAAAAAAACAACAGAGAAGATCAATGAGACCAAGAGCTGGTTCTCTGAAAAGATAAACAAAATTGGTAAAACGTCAGCCAGACTAATCAAGAAGAACTCAAAATCAGAAATGAAAGACGAGTTAAAACTGACACCATAAAAATATAAACAATTATAAACAATTACAACAAAAAACTAAAGGCCAACAAAATGCACAACCTAGAAGAGATTAATTCCTAGAAACAATCTTCCAACTGAGTCAGGAGGAAACAAAATCTGAACAGACCAATTACTAGTAAAATTGGACCAATAATAAAAACTCCCAATAAAGCTAGGATCAGATAGCTTCACATATGAACTCTACCAAACATTTAAAGAAGAGTTAATACCTATCCTCAAGCTATCCCAAAAAACAGAAGAGGGAGAAATTCTTCAAAATTCATTTTACAAGGCCAGTATTACCTTGATACCAAAACAAACTACAAAACAAACAAACAAATCTATAGGCCAATTATCCCTGATGAACATAAAAGCATAAAACTCAACAAAGTATTAGTGAACAGAATTCAAAAATATATTAAAAGGATCATTCACCATAATCAAATCATATTTATTCCAGGGATGCAAAGATGGTTTAATACCTGCAAATCATTGATGTGATCTACATTTACAAAATGGATAAAAGTCTTATGACCACTGCAGTAGATGCAGAAAAAGAATGACAAAATTAAATATCCACTGATGATAAAAACTATCAAAGTGGGCACAAAAGGAACATCCCTCAACATAATGAAAGACATATATGATAAGCCCAAAGCTAACCTCACTATGGTAAAAAAGCTGAAAGCTCTCCCCATAAGGTCAGAAATAAGGATGTCCAAACTTTCACTACTTTTATTCAATATTGTACCAGAGGTCCTAGGTATAGCACTCAGACAAGAAAAATAAAAGGTGCCCAAATTGGTAAGGAAGAAGTAAACCGTCACCGTTTGCAGAGACATAGACTATATATAGAAAACTCTAAAG